TTTTTTTTCATGATTAATTTTTATTTTTCTTTTTAAATTTATTATTAACTTTAATTCCTTTTGTTTATATATTTAATAACTATAATTTTTGTTTATATTTTAATAAATTTTATCATTACATTATTTTTTCATTTTTATTTTAGATAATAGCTTTAATAAATTTTTATTGAGTAATATTATATTTCTTGTGGTATTTATTTTAATTATTCAATTGTATTTTTTTTATTTTTTTCTTCTATATAAAAATAATATGGTATAATTAATTTTTTTTTTAATTAACAAATATTTTAATTCAATATATAAAAATGCATATTTGAATATCATTAAATTTATAAAATATAAATATACTCTTATTCAAATATAAATAATTTTTTTTTTTAATCTGTATTTTTATATTTTTATCTTATATAATCTAGAATTAAATATAAATGACATTATCCTTTTTTAAAAATTATTTTATTTAATTGGCTTTTACAAAAATATATCAACAAATATTGTCATAATAAATTAAAATAAAGCAATATATTTTTAATACAAAGATTTCCTAAATTACATATTTTAGTATATTAGGGGCCTATATAATATAATAAATTTATAGCTACGAATATATTTTTTCTTTAATAATATTAAATTAATTTTAGACTTCAAAAAGTTAAATAATTAATTAAGAAAAAAAATCTCAAAAATTAGACTAAAGAGATGAGAAAAAAATATGATTTTAGCAAAAAGGAAGACAAAAATATTTTGATCAGAATTTTTTTAATAAAATATAACTAGTGATTATATAATTAAAAATATGAAAGAATTAAATATTATAATAATAAATAATAAAATAGTTAAAAATTAATATATAAATATAATAAATAAAAAAATAAAAATTATATTAAATTAATAATATGTAATATTATGTAATATATTTATAATATTTATCTATTTAATTTAATTTTTTTTTATATATACTTTATATGCAATTTAAATTTAACTAAAATTTATCGCAAATTAATAATTAAATCTAATATTAGTATTATAAATTATTTATCTAATAATAACAATTATATATTTTTTATTATTTATAAATATAAATCTATTATTATTATTTACCCAAGTTTTTATTTCTATTTTTTATATTTAAAAAGAAATTTTTTATATAATTTATATTAATTTTTAATAAATATTTAATTTATAATTATAAAATATGAAGATATAAATATAATATCATCATATTAAAAGAAACTTACTTATGTAAAATAAATATATTAAATTTATTTTATAAATACTAAAAAAAAATATAAAAAAATCAATTTTTTAATATTAAAAATAATAAAAAAATAAATATATAAAATATAATAAAAAAGATAATATTAAAATATATAATTCGTATTATAATTTTTTACAAATAAATAAATATTATTTAATTTGAAATATATTTATATTTTAATATAAAATAGAAATATAGATTTATATTTCTATTTTATAAAAAAATATATGTAAAAAATATATAACATTTGATATAAAATATATTATATATATATTTTCATATTACTATAAGTTTTAAATTGTAAAACTATCTTAAAAATTATATAATAAATTAAAAATAAAAAATAATAAAAATAACATTTTATAATTTAATAAATTTTAAACATAAACTTTAAATATGAAAATATTTATATTAACCTTGACTCTATTCCTATATACAATACTATCATGCCCCGAACACTTTGAAGACTAAAATTATGAACCCACAGTGCTTGAACTAGACACCTTAAATAATAACTTTCGTAATTTATAAAAATAATAGAAACCTAGAAATATGATAATCACTTTTAATTATGATTAATTTTCAAATCTTGATACAAAGATTGCTATAAATTAAAAGTTTAAAGAAATGATCTAAAAAGCCATGGATATAGCTGCGAAATTTTTTTACGACTTGATAACAATTGTCCCAAAGTCCTTAGAATAAAGGAAATGGAATTAAGAATTAAATGTATGTGGTGGTGGAAATTTGCTTGCGAAAATAAAATAAGAAGAACGAGCTTCTACCAGAGACACTGATTTGCATATTTATGTGACTTATGCAAATGAAAAAAGATAAACTTATACAGCCTACGCTGCTTCTTGTTAAGAAATAAAAGGCATTGGACCTACTCATGGCTAAATAACCTTTAATTTTGAATTAATAACCAAGTCTAAAAAATTAGATGACCCTATAGAATTCAGTAATTTAGTCGATACTGTAATCCACGAATTGATTCATGTCCTTGGTTTTAACGCTTAATCTTACACAAAATGGGTTGACAAAAACAAGTAGCCTCACATAAATGTAAGTACACAAATAAATGTGAGAGGACTTCCCACAACTTTCCTATCAACCCCCAACGTCCTTAAATTTGCTCGTGAATATTACAATTGTCCAACCTTAAAAGGATTTCCTTTAGAAAACTAAGGTGGTAATGGAAATAAAGATGGACATTGGGAAAACACAGCAATTTTAGATGAATTAATGAGACCTATAAATACACTTACAGTGCCTATTTTTTCTGGTTTTACAGCTGCTTTATTAATGGATACTGGTTATTATAGTTCAATAAACTAAAAAATGGTCGGATCTAGTTTTTATGGAAAAGGTGCTGGCTGTGATTTCTTAACAAAAGAATGCGATGAAAATAGCCGAGAATATTGCAAAGAAAATTAAAAAGAATCATGTGATTATTACAATCATGCACCTTCTACTTGCGAAAATAATTAATTTATGGATAAAAATTGTAGATTTATGAGAGCTAAAGTAGATTACAAATGCTATGATCCTAATAACTTTAATAATAAAACTACGTTATACACTGGTTACTACAGCCAGGATTTCGGATATGGAGCCAAATGCTTTAATAGTAGTATAGTAAAAAAATTTGCAAAGGAACAAGATATGAGTTTAAAGCCTAGTTGTTATAAATATACTTGTAGTAATGATAATAAAAGTTTAACAATTGTAATAAGAGCAAAAAAAATCGAGTAGAGCTAGGTAATTAAATGTACATAAGATGGATAGCTAATATAGGCTACTGGTGAATATGAAGGATAATTAAAATGTCCGGATAAAATAGAAGAATTTTGTTAATATGAATATATTTGTCCTAATTCTTGTAATAAAAATGGATATTGTTCAAAAGGAAAATGTGTTTGTTTACCTTAATATAGAGGTGATGATTGTGCACTTTAAAATAGTGCACTTTAAAATAAATGACAAATTTATTTGGAATTGCAATAAAATTAATTTATAAATATATATAGATATATATATATATATAATCTTAAAAATTTTGCAATAATATATATATATTTATTTTATACATATTTTGTTAATTATTAAATTTAAGTTTTTTTTTTTTTAAAAAAAAATATTATTAAAATTAAAAAACAAACATAAAAATATAAATATTAATAAAATCAAATCACCATTTATTCATTTTCAACTTTAATTCCCATTTTAATTAAAGATTTAATTACAACTTATTCATATTCTTCTAAAGAAACACCCCCATCTCTATTAGAATCTGCCATATCTAGCCATATTTCAACGTCTTCTGCACTCACAGTAACTCCCTTTATTCCCATTTCCTCATAAGTAGCGACTAAAAGATTTGCTATTTCATTTTCTTTCAATTAACCAGATCCATCAGTATCGAATCTTTTAAAAAGTCTTCTAGCTACATTTAACCTTTATTCAACTTCTGGTGTATATCTAGGTTTTGCTGCTCTTTTGATAACCTCTCTATTCTCTTAGCTTTATCCGCCGCACAAATACCTAATACAAATATCTTCTATATCCTAATAAGTAACTTATCCATCACCATTTCCATCCAAAACTCTATGATAAGATTTAACATCTTCACCAGAAGGAGTATAAAATTAATTAAAAGCCTTATAAACTTCAATTATAATTGGACATACATCTACATTATCTAATCTTTATTTATTTCCTTTATCGTAATCTTCAAAGAAACGTTTAGCTACGGCTTTTGCTCCCTTTTTTTTTTAATGTTTATGTATTTTATTATATTTTAGTGATTTTACATCTATTGTACAAAATCCATTTATTGGACGATTTGATGAAGAACGCATAGTTGATGAATTCATGTTTTTTTTTTTTTATTTGTATTTTTTATTTTATTTTTTAAAAATAATTAATATATAATATTATTTATTTATAATTGAATTTTATTTTTTGATTCTATTAATTTTTTCGTTTCATTCTATTCTATTTATTTTTATTTTTTTTATATTTTTTTTTCTTCTTATATAAAGAAAACATTATATATATATAAAGTAAAATAAAAATATTTATATTATAAAATTTATAGGTTAAATTTAATAATGTATCTTTTATTGATATAAATAAAAAAATTATTACTATTTATTTTTTATATATTGCATTATTTTATATTATATTATAAATGTATTGTAGGTTAGTATATTTTTATTTATTAAGCTTCTTTCCTATAAATAAAATATAAAGTTTGTATAAGCTTTTTTTTTCTTAAATTTAAAAAAATACCATTATTTAAAAAACTAATAAATTCTTAAATAAATCAATAAAAAGTATATTAAATAATATACTTTATTAATTAACAAAAAAAAATAAAGTTTAAATAAAATTAAAAATAATATAAATAAAAAATAACAATATAAATAAAATAAAAAAAAACACAATAAAAATGAAAAACAAAAAATTATTTAATAAATTATATAAATATATAATAAAATATTTATCAAAAAATACTCAAAATCTCCTTAAGTTTATAATATTTTAATTACACATTCTATTACTATAAACTCTATATTCTTTTTCGTTACTAAAATTCCTATCAATATTAAAATACAAACACCTTAAACTCAAATAAATTAGTAAAAAGCATTTCATTTATTCCCCCTCAAACAAACAAAATAATTCCCATAATTTAACAAAATTTATTATTTATTAATTTTTTTTTCAATAAACCTATTCTATATAAACAAATAATATTATCAAATAAACTTTACTGAAACTCCTAATAATTTAATTTAAATCTCTTTTTTTAGACAAAAAATAAATAAATTTGTTATCTCTCTTATTTTCCTCCACTTGAAACTTGCTGTTTTTCATCTTTAGATTTTAATATAATTTTAAATGTGTTTTAGAATTCTCTAATAATAAAATCAATCTCATTTTTTGTTTTTTTATTTTAAATTTTCTGTAAAGCTAATCATGTTTAGGACAATTATTTCAAATCTATAATATTTAATATTTATAATAATGAGATACTGTATATATAGAAAATGATTTATATTTATCGATGAGGTGTATGTAATTTATTAATCTTAAAAATATGAATTTATATCTTTAACAGACATCAAAGTATAATTATATAATACATTGAAAACAAGAGATTATCTATATCTTAAAAGAAACATATCCCTAAGCACTCATTAAAGTTCTATTAATAATATTTAAACCTACACATATTCCTATACGATTATATATTTAAAGAATATAATATTTATATATATATATTTTAAATGACAGGCCTATATTTTAATTTTATACTATCAACCAGTACTTTTTTTTATATTATTTTTAAGTTTTTTCCTTTATTACACAGTTAATTCTCCTCCTATCATATATTATTATTATTTAGAATTATAATAATTATATATTGATAAAATACATATATATATATATGACTTTGTTTCAAAAATATAAAAAAATAATTTTAATTTTGTATTTATAAATTTAATGAAAAAAGATAAGTATAGAAAATTAAATTCTTTTCTTAAAAAATTATATATAAAATTTTAATTTTTTTATTGAAAAATAAAAATAAAAATTATAAATAATAAAAAAATATCAATGTTCACAAAAATTCCCAAAACTTAAAAGTGAATCTATTCCATAATCATTTTTTTTTTTAATCAAATAAACAATATTCCCAATAATATTAAGTACAGCTAAACTTACAACAATAAAAACTACAATATGTTAAGCTTTTTTCCTCTCCACAATCCCATATAGTATTCTAGCGCAAACAAATCCTCCTAAAAATGCCAAAAAGCTATAAATAATAACTTCATAAGCCGTTAAATATTATTCACTAAAAACTGAAATAATAGAAGCACAAGCAATAAAAAAATAATTAAACCCACAAACAGCAGAACCAATAATAGGTGGTAATTAATAAGAAATAAAAACAGGCATTAAAAGTAAAGCCGCTCCAGATCCGAAAGTTCCTGAAAGACATCCAGATAATAAACCAGAAGCCCAAATAATAAAATATTTTTTATTATCCGAAATATCAAAATCATCCTTAAAATATTCTTCAAGCCCATATTTTTGAAAAATCATCTTTTTCTAAATTTCATTCCTACTAATAAAAATCTTAATAAAATAAGAAACGACTAATGAATAAACTAAAATCCCTGCACTTAAAAGCCAATAAGAATTCGAACAAATTTTTATCCCTATAAAACTCCCCACGCCTTTCCCTCCTCTTAAAAAAATCAGAAATTAAATACTTACAAAAACAAACATTAAAATAAGTAATTTATTCAAAGGATATTATCTTTCTTCTTACATCAAAAAACACTTTAATTCTCCTGGGTCATTATTTTTTATTTAAGATTAAGCTATATTATCTACTTTAACATCAGATATAATATAAGAATTATTTACCTTTTCTAAATCATTATCTCTACTCAATTAGCTTTCTGTTAAAATACTTTTATCATTATTACTATTTTATATTTATTCTTCTAATATTTTTTTCTATTTATACAAATTCATACCTTTCTTAAATAAATAAGGTGATACAGTACACAGAAATATAATAAATAAAACTCCAGAAACAATTTCTGGAAAAATAACATTCAAAATAATTCCTATATTAGTTCCCAAAATAACCATAGGATTAATTATCATTATAATATTATAATCTATTAATGGTTTTTTTTTCAAAGGATGTTATTTCCTTAAAATTAATAAAGAATTAGCTAAACAACCTCCTAGAACTATACAATAAGATATAAATGTGGCTTTTCTTTATTAATAATTCATTAAAATCATCAATAAAGGAACTTTTATGATTCCTCCACCTAAACCTCCTACATTTCCTATTCCAACTAAAATTGGCAAAAGGACATATGCGATTATATCAATTATACTTGGAGGGAATATATCTTTGTGTTCACATGTATATAAAGATGAACAAACTAAGTTATATTAACAGTCAGACATTTGATTTACAAGAAACCATTAATATAAATAATATTATATAAAATATATAAATGTAAAATAATAATATTTTTATTATTAATTTATATTGTAAAATAAATATAAATTAATAATAGTGATATTATTTTAATTTAGATTTTTTGATTTTATTTAATATTTTGTTTATAATTTTTCATTTTATATTATTATATAATATGTAAAATAGTATATATATGATATATATAAATATATATAATATATAATATATATATTTATATATATATATTTTTATATATTTTATATATAATAATAAAATAATTGATATTCAATACATTTGGTTTTTTATATTAATTTTATTTTATTTTTATGATTAAATTGATTATTAAAAAATTTTTCATTTTTGTCATATTAAAAATAAATTAATATTAAATTATTTATATTAATATAAGATAAAAAGATTTAAAAATTAATATTTGACTTATATAAAATGAGTAAAAAAAAATTTTATATAAAATTATATAATTATAAAAAAAGTATATTTCTATTACTTTAGAAGAAATAGATAAACTGAAAATAAAAACTAATTTTATTATATATTTTATATAAATATTATTTTTATATTAGTAAAGCACATAATTTATAAATATTTTTGCGAAATAAAGATTTATTTAAAATTAAATAAAATAATTTTTAATAATTATATTAAAGATATTTTAATAAATAATTAAATAATATAATATTTACAATATATAATTTATAAACTATATAAAATTATTAATTTATTAATATATTTAATTCTTATTATATATTTATATAATTATTTAATTAATAATATTTCATCTTTTTCAATTATAACTTAATATATAAAGTTTGTTAATATATAATAAATTTTTTTTTTTTTTTTATTTTTTAAATTAAATAATTATATAATTTAAAAAATAAAAATACTTTCTGAATTTATATATATTAACCAATTTACAAATTTTTTTATATTATTTTTTTAAATAATTCAAATTTCGTTTATTATTTTTTAACAAAAAATATATATAATAGAATTATATATAAAATGCAAAAAATTAAATACATATAATTTATATATATTGTTATATTTTTTTAATTTTTTTTTTTAAAAAAAAATATAAAAATAAAAAAGTAAATATATAAATGAATGAAAATTTAAACTCATAAAATAAAAAAGTGTATAGAAAAACATTTTTAGAATTAAATTTCGAAACAATAATAATTTTATTAAAATTAAAAGTAAATTCTTATGAAAAATCTTTATTTTTAATATTATCATGTAATTCACTTCTTATAATTTCAACTATGCATGCATATGGATAATTAATTTAAAAATTATACGAAAACACTATCAATTTAAGTTTTTTATTTTAAACATAAAAAAAAAGAAAAAAAAACTAAAAATAATATTCATAAAAATAAAAAAGATTAGAATTTGTTTAAAATATTAGACTCATTAAAATACTTTGATATAATATTTTTAATAAAACTATCAAAAGAAGTATATTAAATTTCCATAATAGTCACCATAGCATATATAATAATAATGAACCTATTATATACTATATGCTTGATTCACAAATATTTTAATGTAAAAGCGAAACCCAGAAAATTCTTTTTTGGAAGATGGTTTTCATATTTTTAATCGTTTTATTAATTCCTGTTTTTCTATCCTTTTATAGTAATATTAATGTCCTATGTATTTTGCAATTAAGAAATATTTACATAAATAGATATGACATGTGATTATAATGATAGTTTTTACATTATTACTTTCACTTTTACAATTTTGGCTTTATTTTCGGCTATTTTAAATGAATGTTGGCTGGCTTTATTTTACCAAAACATGAAATAATATAAAAAAGATTAATTAAGTATTGATAAATATCCATAATTTTAATTATATTTTAGTGTTTTGAAAATTATTATAGGATTTTTTCGTTCTATATCAATTTAAAATAGCTATTATTTTCTACTTTTTTAAATTATTTTGTAAATAATAGTATCTTCATTTATTTACTATGAATTAAGTTTTAAACTTGGATTTTATAATTTAGGAAATTAAAATATTAAGATTATTTTTTTCTATTCTTATACAATACTATACTCTACTTTTCTTTCTTAATTTACAGACGAAATATAAAGAAAATCGGAAATATTCGGACAAGGGACTGAATTATTTTTATACTTAACAATTTTCTATAGTATAATATTAATTACTTTAAGTGAAAAAATCCGCGATTTTCACCATAAATCTCTTTTGTTAAATAAAAGTACAAATTTATTTCTCTAAAAAGAATATTCTTAAAAAAATTTTCTTTTATAAATTTAAATTTTATAAGATTTAACACATGAAAATATTCAATAAAATGATACCATTTTTAAAGGTTTAATAAATTCTCATTTAAATAATCCTTGTGAGGATTTCTATGAGCAAGAATTTAAATGTTTTTGTAAATTAAAATCACTCTATGACCCTAAAAAACATAAAGATGTAAAAATTGAAAAAGTCTATAATAAATAAAACAGCTCTATTTTTACAAAATTCATTATAAAACGTTGGTTTGAACTTTATTTATTAAAAAACAGATATTAATAGTATCATTTTTACATATATTATGCTGAATTTCTCTATTTTAAATTCAAAAACATTGCTTTGGCTTTAAAAAATTTATGTCTAATTTAGGAGAAATACTTAAACCCTTTAGAAAGTTTCCATTTATTTTAATTAAAGCATATAATAATAAAATAAAATAGGAGTTTAAATAGATAAAGTTATTAGTAAAATCTAGAATCTTAAAGTGTTATACCTGTAGAAACATAAATGGTAGAAATATAAAAAAGAATAAAATTTATTTTAAAAAACAATGTATAATTTTGGGCTTATTTAGCAAAAAATACCATTGATCTATATGAAATAAACAAGAAAATTAAATAATCATTTCATTAAATCAAATAATTAAAATAAATCTGGCAAAAGCAAATGCAATATCTATATTATAGAAAAAAATGGGTATTTTACTATGCCTGGTATTAATTATTTATTTTAAACAAAAAAGTTAAGCTTTTTATTCTCGAAAAATTCTAGTCTACAAAAATAAACGAAAATGATATTTTTTCAGAAGAACTCTAAAATGACGATATTTTTCTAGAAAAATATGATATAGAGTCCGTAGATTCGAATTTAAGACCAGAAAATTATGATATAATATAAATTAAAAAGCCTTAAATGGTATTTGATATGAATAGTGTAGTTTTACATGTAGATAATGATTTTAAATGTAATATTTTGAAAACCAATAGGGCTCTTTTTCACACTTTTGGTTATTTATCTAATGAAGTGGAAAATAAAGTTGGTTTAGATAAATTTATGCCGAGAATATTTGGAAAAATACACGAATAATAAATGAAAGAATTTACACTATCCGGAAAAAGTAAATGCTTATATTCTTAAAGGAAAGTCTTTTGCATGAATAAATAAGGCGATATTTTTTAAAGCTATAAATATGTTAAGTAGTTTGTTACTTTATAAGGAAATTGTGAATATATTGCACTTATTAGACCTATTAAAAGTCCATAAGGACTTAAATAATTATTTCTTATTTTAAATGAAAATTGGGAAATCGATTGTATGTCCGATATTATTTATTAGGCTTTAGGTTATAAATTAATAATATATTTTTTATACGTATAAATATAATTTTTTGAGGCATTTATAATTTATTTATTTTTAATAAAAAAAATCAAAAAAAAAAAAAACAGGAATAAATCCTTTAACTTATTAAAATGAAAAAAGTAAATAAATATTAAATTTTTTATTAGTAAGTCCTTCTCTTTTATAATATACTAAATACATTTAATATACAACTAACATCGATTAATATTTATTCTAAAAAATAAATGAAGAAACAGGCGATAATTCTCAAAAATAAGAAGAAAATTCAGAAAATGTATTATCTCCTTAAAGTTGTTACTAAAAATAAGAACAAATATAAAAATATTCATTATTTTAAACTAACAGTATCAGATAATAATCTTATTTTAAAAATGAATTAAGTCCGCACTCAAGTCATATATAAATACAATAAAAATTTTTTTAAGCTTAATAAACTCCTTATAATATTTCTATACAAATTCCTCAAGAAATACCTTCATAAATGAATTATGAAAAAAACAAAATTTAAATAAATATAAAAGAAAATAATAATATAATATATGAATAAGAAGAAAATGTAAAAATATGAAAATATATTAATAGATATATATAATTATATATATATATTTATATATATATATATATATATACATATATAATAATGTACAATTTTTTTATTATATAAAATTTAAAATAAAGTCATTTTTGGTAAGAGATAATTCTGTTTATGATACTTAATTCGATTTTTAGGAATAATTAAATGAACATAAAAATTTTTAAATGGCTGGAAGAATAAAGAAATTATTGAATATTAAAATTCATAAATCAAGACGACAAACAATACAATAAGAACTAAATGATTTATCGAAGTCATATTCTTTAAATTCTCACGACAATACTCCTTTAATTTACAGATAATAGAAAATTAAAAAAGAAAATTATCTTTTTTTTAATGATAAATTAGATAAAGGTGAAGATGTTGATTTTGATATTATTATTCCGGATAATTTAAATTAAATGATGCTAAATTATTTCAATTAAATTTAAAAAATATAGATAACATAAATAGATGATGTGGATAAATAAATATACGAAATAATAAAATAAATAATATCTAATAATAATAATAATATTAAAACAATTAATACAAAAAATTATAAATGTAATTGTACATTAAAAATGATATAATATAATAAATAAAAAGTTATAATAATTAAATTAAACAAATTCGAAAAACAATTAAAAAAAAAAATAAAATTATTTAAGAATTATGTAAAAGAAAATTCTATATAAAAATGTGCTTTTAAAATTAAAAAAAAAAATGATGCATTATAAAAAGGTAAAATACATAAACAAAAAATAATTAAAAAAATTATAATTTTTTAAAAAATAAAAAAAAATAATATAAAATTTATATATATATATATATATTTATATATATATATGTTTTTTTTTTATTCTAATTTCTTTTATTTTAAATTTTGATATTTAATTTTTTTTATATTTTTATCATATTATATCTTTATTTTTTTTTTTAATATAGATTTATTATTTATTTAAAATTAGCCTAATTAAAATTCTAATTCTAATTCTAATTCTAATTCTTTAAATTTATTTGACTCAAATTAAAACAAAGAAAACATTTTAATTTTTAATAAAACCCGTGGATATTAAACTCATTTTGATAATCATGAAAATAATAACAGTTTAACATCAGTTTCTTCCGCACGTTTATTCTAAAAAGATTTCTAAAATCGTCAAGGTTCAATGAATTTCAATTTAAATCATACTGAGAATATATATATAAAAGAGGACAATCATAAATCAAATAAAAAGATAATAATAATTTAATCATTTGCAATTTTCGTTAGAATTTTTTTTATTTTTTTAATATTTATGAATATTTTTACATTTTTCTATGGTCCTTATTAGTAATTTAGTAACCTTCACTTGAACGCGGAGGGTATTTTTTAATCAAAGAAAGTTACTTTGACAATATTATAATCATACAATACAATATTAGACCTATTATTATTAAACACGGATACTTTTTAATTTCAAAACAATAAATATTGGACAAAAACTACATATTAAAATATGAAAATTGACCAACTAAAAGTGTACTATGATTATTTCAAACAAATACTTTATAATGAGTAATTTTCCCATAACTTATACAATTAAGATACAACTCCATTCTCTTTTATAAAACTACCCATAGGAAATACCTAATATACATATACTTTAGATAGCTTTGATTTTATGGCTGGATTAATTTATAATATATAGACTGTTTGTTTACAAAAAGACATAACAATTCTTAAAATAAATCAATAAGAAATCGCCTTTATTCGGTAAAATATATTCCCTTTTATATATAATTAACTTCAGAGTTAATAAGAAAATTTAATAAATGACGTTAATTTAACTTCTAAAAAAATAAATGAATTACTAATTCTAGTTATAATAATTTAATCAATTTTAACTTTAATTTCTTTTCTAGTATTATTTCGATATATAATGATTGTTTGTAATACCTTCCAGTCTATATTAGAAGTCCTTCCCAAAATAGACTCTATAGATATACTAAAAATCAAAAATTACAGTCTAAACCTTTTGAGCAATTTCAAATATATCACAAACAAAGACGATTTACTCTCTGGAACGATTTTTAATTCCAAGATAAATTTTTAGAAAAGAAAATCATTTAAGTTATAAAAAACTTGCTTTATGGATAATTATGAAGTACCTATAGTTATCTAAACTGGAGCGGCTAAAAAATAAAAAGAAATTAACTATGGTAAATTCCTTAGAAGTACAAGAATATAAACTACTCTATATTATACTTTATTCATATTTTCAATTACGGCTATTTGTTCTTATTTTTTATTTAGCATTATTAGTAGTTCGAATACTCTTTTTGATATTTTGGATAATGGAATGCTCTTTATGAAAAATTTTGATTAAAATATAATTATAATGTCAGCTATAAAAGAAAAAATTTTAGATAAAAATAGATATGTGGAATATCTTTTACCTAAAATTAATAGTAATATTTAGGAATTTCTAAATAAAAATTAAATTCCTTATTCATAATAAATAAATGATTGTTAATTCGATGAATTCTTTTAAAATATTTATTATAAAAACCCTTGTATATTATATGGAGACTTAATTCCTAATTATTAATAAGAATGCGAAAATGTCGCATAGTAATCATTTATGAAAGGAGTTTCGACTTTTAATGCATTTTATCAAAATACTGTTGGAGATTTTGTAAATAATAAAAAAGATTCGATTCTAAGCAATTAAACTATACTGGATTATGATAGAGGAGTGTTTTTTTATGATGTGTTTATTATTTATTTAATTGAAATTTGGGGATAAGATATGAAGAATTATTTAAATAAAAAAATATTATTTTTGTCTATTTTTTTAGGTGTGATTGTTTTCTTGATAATTTTGGCACATATAGTTATCAATGAAAAACTACTAATTGGTAATCTTTAAAAAGAATATGCTTATTTTAGATGTATTTATAAAATGTATATGCCTGATGAAATTATATTAAAAGAAAAAAGAATAAAATTTTGGTTAGTAAAACATTATGTACTAAATAAATGACTATTTATTTTAATTTCTTGTATATTTTTTTAAATGATTTTTATATATTTTTTTTTTTAGTTATATTTATATAATATGATTATTTATATTAATAATATCTTAAATTAAAATTGATTTTAATATTATTCATAAAAACCTTATTAATTATAAAAAATAAAAATAAATACAAAATCTATATTATAAATTTTTTATTATATAAAATTATATAATATTTTATTTAAAATAAAAAAGTATATTTTTAAAATATATTTATTAATATAATAATGCTTAATATATTTAAAAAAATAAATATAAATAGTATATAAAT